CGGCGATTTCTGTTAATGACCGGGGCGGGACGAAATGCGAAATTATGTTATGCGAGGGAGCGTAGCGACAGAGCGAGATTTTTTCCCCTCAATTTTATTAGTCTAAACGCTGCACGCTTGGGCCTTCCGGAGCCTAAAAGTGTGTTGCAGTCATTATTCATTATATGCTATACAATTAGTTTTGCTCTTTTTCAAATTTCCAGGGGGGGGGGGGGACGATCCCCCTAAAAAAAAAATGAGGGGCGGGACGTGTCCCCCCGTCCCCCGGGATCGCCGCCCCTGACTACCTCTTTTTCGGTCATGATTTGTCCTAGTTCTTCCTTCTTCCCCCTTTTCCCTTTTCTTTTGTCTTATCTGTTTACTTCTCCTTGTCGTTTTGTGGTTGTTTGTTGTTTTGAAGTATTGTGTTGTGTTTTCCAAGTCTTCGTAGGCAAAATTTGAAACAATTATATTTTTTTTCTAGGGGATTCACAAACTACAAGCACAGTGCTTGTTAATGGACACCCCCCCCCCATTTCCTCAGAAATTAAGAATTTCTTGTAACAATTTTGTTACGTGCAAAGTGTATTTGTATAGTTACCAGAAAAAATGAATTATGTATGCAAAAAAATGTAATATCTTTGTTTATCGTTCTGTTGGAAATGAAATTAATATGAATTGAATTGAATTGACCATTGACGCTGTACAATAAGCAGTTACACCATTGACCCCAATATATAGACCAGTACGTAGTTAGCATATAGGCCTATATAGGCCTAACTTTAAAGCCAAATTAGAAATCTAGGCTAATTAAATATTGATAGATGATTTGTCATATCACAATTGTAAGTAAAAAGTGATGCCAACTAATTCAAAATTGGGTGATATATTTTGCCTTGTAAATTCTGATATTATCTTACAACAATTTTGGTGGAACGGCTGTAAACTCCTTTGCGCAGACTAATAAGGGATTTATAAAAAAAGAAGACTTTTTTTGTAAGTTGCACCATGCCGATCCAACATCGAATTTTGAGATCTCGATATCTTCAGAATCCTTTGATCACTGTAAAGTTGATGATAAATTTTCTTGATGCACAAATTTGTAGTAAAAAACTTTGCCGTCCATTCGGTTATAATTAGACTAAATAATAATTGTTGAAGAATATCATGAATCCAATATCACATTTCCTAATAATTTCAAAAATCTCCGCGAACTTTTTCACCCAATCATACTACAAGTCAAACTAGATAAAAATAACCGTCTGGAACGGGTCATTCTTTAATAAAACTGACATTTTGTCAACATTATGTATACAGTATGGAGGTAGTCAGAGAAGCCAGATGTAAATAATTATAATATTCCGCTTTTATATAGCGCTTATTTAATACATCGATGATGTCTCAAAGCGCTTTACAGGTGTTATTACCCCGGTCATCGGATTCAGGCTTGCCCGCACACTTCGCACATTTCCCCACTCCTTGGGGAGCATTCCAGCCAGGCGTCATTTTAAAGGGGCATGTTCCCCGTATTCCAGAGGGCGTTCAAAATACATACCCGCTGGCGGACGGTGCTAGCTGTCTATTGACACCAACAGAATATGGCCCTTACGCAGATGGCATGTTCCTAATGCCCGCACAATGCCGATTATCGCATACATTGTGCTGAAGTCATACCAATCGCAGTTCGGCTCTAAGATTCGGCTGCTGTTTCCACCCACTTTCGTGACGTCACTATCGGCAGCGATCAGCTGGCTTGGCGAAGGCAGGCCAGGCCGCGCGTTCTTTGATTGACAGCTGTATGCAAATGAGAAGTCGATCTTCGGAATCAAGATGGCGATGACTAGAGCAGCGATAACTACACTGGCGGGAACGTGCCCCTTTAAGCGCACACTTGTAATCTCAGCGGCCGGAACACAGTCAAACCTGCTTTAGTGACTACCTGTCTACAATTTCACAAAGACCACCTGTCTACAAAGACCACATTTTTTGTTTCCCTTGAAAATGGTTTCTTATTCAAACATGTACTAAAGGAACCTGTCTACAAAGACCATTTGTTGTATTTCCCTTGGGCGGTCGCCATAGACAGGTTTGACTGTAGTAGAATTAAAGTATCGTGGCAATATTGTTGAAGGTTGATGAAAAAATGTGTAATTTTTGTCTACAATTTTACTTTGACAGGTTCTGACCGTCTAACATGCAAAAAATGCTGAATTCGTTTTTAAACCACAAAGATTTTTATGTTTTTCCTTGAAGGCATCACTGTGCGACACCCTCTAACAGTAAATTCTCCCGACCCGTTTTTGCATTTTCCCAACCGTTTTTCCATGAAAATCAGACATAAGACAGACTTTTAAAAATCTGTCAACCCTCAAATGTCTGAAATTTACATTCACCTAAAATGTAATTAAATTGTAATAATATAGTTGGGAGAATGAAGGAATCGAACAGATAAGTGTTTTTATCATTAATAATGGTCTTTAATTTTCACTCAAACTTTCAGATTATCTTTAATTGTACATTTAGCATTGAGGTCACTGTCCTTATCACCATTTTCTCTCATCTGACAAAATGTTACTAATTCCTTTAAAAGGTACTATGTCCCTTTTGCAGCCAACCTCAAATTCTGTAGAACTTTGCAGGAATTATGAATATGTCATGTATGTCCTATCTGTGAAATTTAAGCGTTAGCAGTGTCCTCATATTCAAATTATGCAAGGAAACCCGTTTACTTGCTAGACTTCACTGTCAGACGCTATTGAGTTACTGACTGGCTTTTTTTTTCTTCTTTGGTAATAACATACATGAAAAGAGATGTTAAGGGTACATGAGCATTTGTCTAAATCAATAACCCACTTCTTGTGATGGCCAAGATTAAACTGATTGATTCTTTGTGCAGCATAAAACGAATGACCATTCGGTACAATTGTCTGAAAATCAAGACTATTACTTTTGGGCTCTACAGCCCTAAAGTCGATTTGACAACTAATAGTCGTTATTTTCCCACTTGAAGACATTTTCAAACCCCACCTTTTTTAGGGAAGTTCTAGATTAGTATTATCTTTCAAATGCAGTTGGAATTTAACTTTTTCATTTTTTTGGCCTGCAAATGGGACATAGTACCTTTAAAGGGCAGGTCCACTCCAAAAATAACTTACTTTCAATAGAACCATACAAATCAGACAAACCAATACAAACAAGTTTGAGCAAAATAATAAGAAAGTTATGATTGGCAACTCACTCGTGAGTCTGTGACGGCATTGCCTCACTTTTATTTACATTGATAATATAAATTTCCCATTTCCCCCCTAAGAATCTTATTTCATCATACCAGCATCCAAGTTATGTTTTTGTTTGGGTGCACAAAATAGAGTAATTTTCCCATGTTAAATCATGAACAATTTGAAATTTGATAAAATATTTATGTAAAAGTCAATAATTATGAATATACAATAATTAGCTATCCGATTTTACTATAATTTGTGTTGCTCTGTTTCTCATGTTTGTCTGCATCTATTAGTCTAAGAATCAAATTATTTTGGGAGAGGACTTAGTTTTTAAGTACTAGTACTACGGTAGGCTACATGTGAGTAGTATATATAGACTATATGGCCCGAATTCACAAAGAAGGTTTGTCGACAAACCTTGGTTTTCGTACGTCATATGACGCGTTTTACGCGTTTTTTACAAACCTGGTTTGTAAAGAACAAAAGGAGGTTTGGCGAAAGAAAAGGAGGTTTGAGCTCAAACCTTGGTCTGAGCTCAAACCTTGCTTTGTGAATTCGGGCCAACCAGTTTAGACTTCGGAAGTTCGGAGATTTTAAAATTGATATTGATTTATTATGAGCGAACAAACTGACATCTCTTTATTTACTATATTCCTACCTTCAGATCGTGTGTCTGGATAGCTGACAGATTGGCTTGAAATGTCTGAAGATCTAGTAGTCTAGAGTCTTAATTAATCATCAATTGTTTCAAGAGCGTATGCGTGTTTGACCTTTACACGTACTATGTACAGTATGATGTAGCAATAATATACTTATAGATGGGGAATGATATTAGGGTGAAACTCCAATGTTGTTTTCTATACCCTATAGGTCATTTTGACGTCATGTGCATCTGCTTCCATGCTCGAGACAAGTAGAAGCTGAGTAACAACTTAAAAAAAAGAAGAAGATGTATTTTTGAAGCGTGTTTTCTGATAAAGGCCTTATGTGTAGGCCTACCTGCAGTATAGCCTACCCCCCAACAAAAATATGATGAATAGACAACTTTCGTAATTGCTTTTAAGATTTGATTGATATTTGACATTTATATTTATTAATGATCCTTTCAATACCACTGTTTGCCTTGTATTCAAATACAGTTTTCATTGTGTGATTGACCCTACAACTATTTGCTAGTCATATTGTTTGCAGAAATATATATTTCTTTTAGAATCTCTTGCGGCTATACCGGCCATAAACTTGTATTTGCTTTTCAGTGAAAGACCCTCTTCCCCCCTCTTCACATTCAGTTCTTAGTCCTAAGAACTTAAAGGGCTGGGAGAAGGTGGAAGGTGGTGGGGGGGGGGGGGGGGGGGGGGGGGTGAGGGGCCGGATTCCACTCCCTTGCTTTTTACCCATTAACTTCACCTGGGTTGAGGGTGGCAAATGTAGATTAATGCCTAAGGTGGGACTCGCATCGATCGCAAAAAATTCCACAGTCTTTTTACTGCTTTTTTGTAATGTTTTTATAATAACTTGTAAATACTGTGATTATTTTTTGATTGTTCAATAAAACACACAAAGAAAAAAAAAAACAATTCCACAGTCTGGTGACATATCCACTAGACGACGACACCTCTACAATATGAATTGGCAACTAACACGAAACAGTGTTTGCATCTTGCCATCTCTCTATTTTTGTAGCAAGGCAAAAAACCCGCCAACTTTAAACAGTGCTAGTAATAATTATGAGCAATTAAGGATTGAACCGAGTCTGGACCCCTTGTATGAGACTAGTCAAGCCTTCACTAATCGTACTACTGCATTGCACCATGGACTTACTAGAGTGCATGCTCAAACAATGTGCAAGCTCAATCCTCCTTTCTCCGATTTTGTTGTGTTCGATCCCGGTGTTCGATAGAATAAGGGTCAGTGTGATTCTCGGAAGATAAATTTGTTGGGAGTAGATTTTCAGTATGAGTGGGGCAACACAACATGTATTGTTTGCTTGTTTCATTTCTTGCTATCTCTCTATTTACAGATCACTGCAAAAGCAACCGCCCCCTTTGTGTTTGAGCAGTGGTTTCTTTGCGTTGTCTGACCCCAGTTCCAGTTAGCCAGCTGCCAGCCGCAGCCCGAGCTCAAATTGTCGGTGCTGTCGACGAGTCACATATGAGTTGCTATATCAGGAGAGTAGATCCAGCTAACTGCAGACGTGTTAAGGGTAAGTGCATAAACTACATATGTTTGATGTGTTTGTTGTATCATGGAGTTGCTAGATTTGTTGAATTGCTGATGATATTGCAATTTAAAAGATTTTTATATGATATAGGTCTATGGTTGTGCATGTCTATAGTTAACTCCGGGAAGCTCCAACACCGGCGCGCAGCGTCCGCTGCGCGCCGGTGTTGGAGCTTCCCGGAGTTAGTCTATAGTCTAATGATTAAATATCACAAAAAACTGCAAACGTTAAATATTGGATTTATAAATACTAGTTTTCATATACATGTTTATCTAGACATAGTCTACATTTCTTTCCCTTCTTCTTCTTCATCTTATCTTTTTTTCTCCACTGCACTCTCTTTTCTCCTGATTTAATTGCCAATATATAGTCTATCTCTCTTCCAAATTTTCTTGCTATATTCCTCACCTTAACCTGCATTTTCTCTATATCACTGTCAATTGTTTCTTCTCTTCTTTGCTGTGTCTCTTCCTTTCCTAATCCTAGCTCCCTCTCTATTTTTCTTTGTCTACTCTTCCTTCCTGCCTGTCTTCATTTGTTCTCCTTCTCTCTCTCTCTCTCTGTTTCTCTCTCTCTCTCCCTCTCTCTATTTCTTTCTCTGTCACAACTGTGTAAAATCAGGTGACTTTAATTCGTGATCTAGTTAAAACTCTCTAATCGTCTCACAGGAAGATTAACACAATAAACAAAGAATTCAAATTCTGTTAAGTGTATCAAAGAATATCATCTTCTTCTTATCTTTATTACTTTACTTCTTATCACAATAGAAATACATATAAAGATATAAAGAATGTATTGAACCCAACCCTGAGGTTGTAGTCTTAGCTATCACAAAATAACAAATTTGTACAGAGTATTGACACTAAAAATGGTCGTAGGTTTATCGTACGTTTGGAGATATAAATAAAATAACCCACTTTAGTGATGCAATCACTTTCAAGATGTGATATTAAAATATTGTTCATGGGAATAAAGAAACCATAGTTGTTTACTGTTGCTGGAACTTGTCCACCGTAACGAAGGTGTTGCTCCATCTGTATTAGCACCTTCAACTCTCCATAGTCGTTACAGGTATAAATCCACCCATTGTGGCATGAAACTTGGATACAGGACTTGCTCTGTAAGTCCTAGCCGGAACACCATAGTTTGAGTGGTTGACTGAAATGCAGAAAAAAGGGGCAGGCCTCAATGTCGGTTCTGGTGATCTTGACTCTCTATAGAACTTATACTTGCAGCGCAAAATGCCAGGTTTTTGAGCTATGAAACAACTTTCATTCACCTCCAACCCATAGGTCCTCCCTGTATGACTTGTGTGCAGATAGTGACACTACACTGCAAGGTAAGGCAACCCACCCACTATAGCTATGCATCACCTGTTGGAGCTATGTAGAGTGCAGTGGAGCCTAACTACTAAATGCATTCAACCCAAGTCTTTAATCTACATAACAATAAGCGGGTTGTATTGAGGGGAAAGGTTGAGTCCTAACACACTCTCTCTCTCTATTTCTCTCTCTCTCTATTTCTCTCTCTTTCTTTATTTCTTTTCATCTTATTCTTTCCTCTCTTCCTTTCCTCTCTTTCTATCTTTACCCTTCTTTTCTGTCTCTCTTTCCTCTACCTCTGGGTACTTCGCTTTATTTTTGTGCGTGCATTCCCTTCATCTAGCTCATTGTCCAATTATCCACTTCTTTCTCTTCTTTTCTGCCTCCATCTTTCCTTTTCCTTTCATTTTCTCTTTGGCTCTCTTCCGTTCAGATTGAAGGATGGCTCAGTCGTATTCCGCTCCGGTTCCTCTCAAGAGCAAACGATGCACTCTAGAAAGAGCAGAAAAATTCATATCAAGCATCTACTTCACTGACTGCAATTTGTATGGAAAGTGAGTAACATAATCTATTCTGTGTATTAAACACAAAGGGTTTACACATTTACATATACATGTATGTCATATGTAACAGCAACAGGTTTGATTTTTGAAATTGCCTGATTGAAAATCATTACAGATTTGAAAGTTAGAGACAGGTTAAAATTAATTCTCAATCAAACATATTTGATTTCTGATATAGATATATGTGTATTATTATCTATAAAGGCTTCCAAGTTGTACAATAAATCAGTGTATTTAATATCTTTAGCGCGCGCAGTACCTGGATGACTGACCAATATTGTTTTTCGTATTGCTCAGTCATCCGGGAACTTCAACTATCACACAAAAACAAAGCCATATTTACTGAGGTCTGTCAAATTTTTAAAATTGTGTTAGTCAGCCTGATATAGATAATAATAATAATAATAATTGTATGTACCAGTAGCTTTATTTTCATGTGAAACAAGAATATATTGCTCTCGCTATGACAAAATTGAGCTCGTCTCCGACTCGTTCAATATGGTCATAGCTCAAGCAATATATTCTTGTATCATACTCAAAGCCATCCAATATTATATAATTATCCATATTCTTTATTTCAAAATCCGCCAAAATATGGCTAAGATTTTATATAAGACATCATATAAGAACACAAGAACCCCTAAGTGAGCACTGAACCCCGGCAACTAGAAAATTTGACATTCGCACACTTTGTTTCATACTCCTTCTAAGTTTCAATTTCACATGTTTTAAATTGTGTTCGTCGACTGCCCTGGAAACAACCTGTACAGTTTCTCATTTTAGAGATGTTTAATTTTGTTCACATTTTTTGTATCCAGAATGCTAGAAATCAAAAATTGCACATGAGAATTAAGAGTAAGAAAATATCACAGAATGCTTTGAGTTAACTTCTGCTGCAGTGCAGTGTGCCATTTATGATTAAAAATGATTTCATTTTGAGTAATCACTGAAGTATGTTGACTGGCAACTCAATGTGGAATTTGTAATGCTATTTTCATGTACAAACTGGCAAATTTGTGTCAATTTTAACATTTGGTCTATGTCATTTACAATTTGTCTATTAACCCAGTAGTTTAAATGTCTATTGTTTTGTTATAGCTGTTCGAATAGAAAATACCTGTTGCCAATTTGAGGAGCAAAAGCTGATTCATTTTACCTCAGCTGTGTATTTGCAACATGAAACTTAGAAATCTTAGCCAGTCCAGACTTTTGCATGATTTTTGCGTGACATGAAATCTTCCTCTTTACCATAAACCCTCGGCCTATATCTGTGACAAAATAATACTTTTTTCAGCTTTTGTTGGACTATGTGTTCACATACTGTAGGCTAAAGTATTTTATCTTATTTGAATTTGACATTATTTTTGCATTAAACTTGTTTTTACTTTTTTTTATACTTGTCCCTGTAGGCTCTTTCCTGAGAAGCACCCTGTGTGCATCACACACAGAAAGGTCAAAGGTCGTGTGACCTTCGACGAGGCCACCAAGGGATGGAGTTCAACAAGTTCCAAGTCCAAGTATCCTCCTGCTACAGAGGTCAAGCCAGGGTCATCTTACGGTCCAACGTAAGTTTAATTTTACCCCTTTTTTCATTTAAAGCCCCACTGTCCTACTTGTAGCTACTTGCTCCCTCTATATAGAAAACTTCCCCAATCGATGCCTGTAATTGGTCCCCCATGATCCTCTTTTTCTTATGTTAGTTGAGAGCTGAGTTAATGATATAGCCACCTGTCAGTGACCTCACTGTGTGGTCTAATCCCTTCTGGCCCAGTAGTATTGATGGTATTTAAAGTAGGGTAGGAGTGTTTACCTATAGCAAGACAGTGCCTCTTTGTAGTGACATTTTTGCACAATCTATTGATTCAGAATGCTAGGAATCAAACAAAATAGACCCTACATGAGCAGAAAGAGAAAAAATCTCCAGAAAAATTGCAGTGTATTTTCAAAGCAGTATGCTGTGCCGTTCTCAGATAAAGGCAATTTAATTTTAACTTATCATTAAATTCATTAAATTGGCAATGCGCTGTAAAATATAAAATCACTGATTTCATGTACAAATTGGTAATTTTCCAGTTGATTTTGCAATTTTTTTTCATATTGGTCCATTCAATAAACAATTTTTGTGTTCTTTAAACTATGAGGAGAACTGGTATATAAGGATTAATTGTTGCTCCACTGACTTTAATTGTCTGTTGGCTTCTCCGATTGACCCTGGCCTAGTCTGCATGCAAGCACAGACCCTAATTTGACACTTTATCAAAAAATAATTGTGCCTTGAGATAAGCCTAGCCCGGCTACATACTGGTTGTGTCAACAGGAGCAGCTATATACATGGCCTATGGTAGTCTTATAGTGCAGACTCTCTTTTACGACTGACCAGGGTATGTGCTTGCAGACTAACCCTGGCCTAGCTACCTCCATTGTGTTATGACTGGTTTTTATTGACAGGTGGGCAACTCACTGGTTTCGTGTTGAGATCCAGATCCCCAAAGCTTGGCACAAGCAGGAAGTCCATCTTCTGTGGAACTCTAACTCTGAAGCAATGGTTAGTGGTACAGGCTGTGTTTATAGGCTTTTGAATCTAGAATCACGTATCAAAACATGGTTGACAAACAACGTTTTGTTACGCAATTATATGTTTATAAACGTTTCCACTGTCGAGTCGCCAAAGAGATAAGGTCATAGTTGAATCAGGACAGTGTGACATTTACAACAGGTTATATTTTAGGCTTTAGGTTAAGGATTAGATTTAGTTATGCCGAGTGTGAGGCCCTGGAATTTGAGTACTGGTAGTTTTGGAAAGAAAAAGGAGAGCGCTCTCACACACACGATGAAGGGCAAAGACGACGGTAACGCGAGCGAAAAAAGAATCTGCGCATGCGCGAATCAGAATTTTGTCTCCGTCTTGTTGATTTTCAGGACCGTACGCGGCCATGATAGCGTTCGTTTCCTAAACATGACGGAAGATCTGTATCGCCGTAAATCTCCCGTCGTCTTTGCGAAAGCGCTCTATACTACAATTGATGGAGCAAATGTCCTGCGATTGGAGAGAATTTCAAGTGTTAAATTCTGCCTCTTTTGTATTTGTTTCAGGTTTGGAGTCCTGGAGGAGAGCCTCTTCAGGGGTTAAACAAGGACGACCGCATCAGCTTCATCTTAACTTGCCCGCATTCCTCATTGAAGTAAGTACTCACTATAAAGTCCCACTGCACTACTTATAGCTACTTGCGCCCTCTATATAGCAAACAATGCCTAATCGGTGGCCATTGGTCCCCCACTATCCTCTTTTTCTTATGTTAATTGAGAGCATATATGATGAGATAGCCACCTGTCAGTGACCATGCAGGGAGGTCTAATCCCTTCTGGCCCAACTAGTGCGGCGGGGCTTTAAAAAAGTATCGCATGCCTATGGATCTTCCAGAAGCCAATTATAGGACCCTCTTGTTGGCAGTTTTACTCTGTAATGCTAGATCAGGTCTGCAACTGATTGGACGTTTGTTATTAGATTCCATTTTTGTTCACAATGTATGAACGTAAAGAACCCTCTGCCTCATTTGAATAAGAGCAGGGGAAACCCTGGTATTGTGGTGCACCTGCAAATCCCAGTCAGTTATGCGAGAATTACAGTGATTTAGTTCACTTCAAGACTTAATTAATAATGGATCTCATCGCATTACCATTACTCAAGTTCTTCTTAAATTTAGATTGTCAAAGTGTCGATTTTTGCAAACGTCACTTTTATTTCATTGATTTCTTAATCTCCTTTTCTGTCTAGATATGATCACCTGTATATAGAGATGGCATGCAATAAGATCCTTGGAGCGGGGAGTGATCTCATAGATGCACCGGTAATGGATCTTACATTCACGCTCTCGCAAGCCGAGCTGGCGCTTTTCAACCGTGACGCCTATGACTTAACGATGGATGTCGAAATCTTGGTCGACATGGTCAAGGTTGGTCTAATTTTTTCAACACTTTTGGTCAAGTTACTGCTGCAGCTGAGGTTTAAACCAGAACAATTTGCCTAATAATAACCCTGCATTCATCATTTTCGCACCAGCACTTGAAGTTCTTTGTTACTAAATCAATTGGATTTATAGCAATTATGACTTATGTGGGATATTTTATCTTACTTTGCTATGTATTTTTGTTTTCTTCATTGTTTCAATCAGCCAGACGTTGGTCTAGCAGAAAGCAAAGAAAGCAAAAATCTGCCTTCTACTGATTTAGTTATGCAAGGGTCACTCTGTGGCCTGGACCCACCCTCCTCAGGTCATCACCTTTCTTCACCTGAGCCAATTATTTGTAACCTCAGGGTTTCACCATCACTTCATGTGCTTTACAAAAAACAAAGGCAAAGCATCACTCTTATCAGCAAATGTGTTAGTCCAGGCTTCACCCTTTGAATTATTTGCATAGGTGATGCTTCACTTTTGTCAGTTTTACATAGGTGAGGCTTCACTTGTGTCAGTTTTCCATAGGTGAGGCTTCACTTTTGTAAGTTTTCGGCCGGTCTGAAGCTTCACCACTGTTTCACCATACTGGCCATTTGCATAGTTCAAGCTTCACCACTGTTTCACCATATTGGCCATTACATATTTCAAGCTTCACGTTTTGAAATCAAGCTCCACCAATGTTTACTTATAATAGTAGACCATGACTGCAATGGTCTATAGTCATGATAGTAATTCCATACTGCTCAATAAGTACCAAGTCAACCAGGTTTCAATTCAAAGATACAGTAACATGTTTATTTTGTCAATCCAATGTTTCTACAGATATGTTGTTATGAAACTTAAAACGTTTATAAAAAAGTTGTTTTAACTACAAGTCTTGTTTTCTAATACTAACTCTTGTTTTCTAATACTAACTCTTGTTAACTATAAACACTATCCTGTTACCTATTAAACTCTGTTACTTGGAAATGAAAGAAAATGTTCATTCCAGACAAATTTCAGGTTTGCGTTGTTAGATTTTGACATTGTGTTGTAGTGCAGTACATACATCATCTAGCTAGTACTGGTAGGACCAGGTATGACTCTGACCAAGTTTGGTCGAGATGTAAAAAACAAAAAACAATATCACAATTTTATTTTTAATAATTATGAAAGTCTAAAAGACGATTTAATAAAATAAAAATTGTACCCTCCACGGAAGTTCCAAAGATGTTTAAATTTGTGGAGGCCTACGCAGCTACGGCCTACGCGCAGATACGGCCTACTAGAAATAAATATGAACACCAATTATATTAATTGGGGGGGGGGGGATGGAAGTTTTACTATAAAAAAAAGAAATGACCCACCTGATGGGTAAAAAATAAAATTGACCTACCTGAGTAAAAAAAAGAAAAATATGCCCAGCTGATGAGGACAATTACAACAGAACATTGTTGTAATGTCAATGAACCTAGTAAAATAGCCCTGTTGTTACTGTTGACTTGTTGTTGTTGTGAATTAGAACACAGTATAGTAATTCCACTGGATTATTATTATGAATGAATAATAATCAATATTACTACAGTCAACAATGTCAATTTAATTGGTTTGATCAGAGAAGATGCTTCTCTGGTTTGATACATACTCTATACTACTGTACTAAACTACACTACAGCCTACAGGTAAACAAAACATCAACAATATACACACAAAAAAGCTTGCGATATTGTTGTGTACAATTAAAATAATACATCATCCAATGTTTATTATTATTTTACCATGATGGATTGATGAAGATGTTTACAACAAACAATACACGACTAACACAAACCATCACAAACGTACACAGTATACAGTGCATATCCGCAGAATTCGTAAGGCTTCGACTCGAGCGCACGGCACTGCTGTGGCGTAATACCTTTGTGGAATACGTCAACATTGAAATCTCGCGAAAATATAGGCTAAGTTTTATGCACAGATTTCGTTAATAATCAATCGTAAAACAGGGTCGGAGTAGTACCGTCTCAAAATGATCGGAAAACTCTGAACTTTCTATCTTTTTTCAACTCAACTCGCAAAAACTTGGGGCCAAAACTTGGCACGATCTGCGCTGCGCATGCTGGGTACAATACCGACAGCTCGTAGGCTACTAGTCTCGTTTCCAGACTTGAGGCTGGCCTTTCAGGCACGTATACTGCGAATACTCACGCAACTAGTTATGTGTAGGAGACTAGTAGACTACTCGAAAACGATCTCGTGAAATCTCGAAATCAGTTTCGCTGGAGAAAAGTTCGGTGACCTCAGGACGATCACTCTGCGAGTGCATGAGTGACCGGAATAAAAATTAAATAGTTGTTTTGAAACGCACGATTTCGACATGATTTCGACATATTTTCGACGCGACCGGTAGTGGCTTCGATGTCACATCACCTGAACAAACAAGGCGACCGATTGGATTCGATGTCACATCACCAGAAAAAACAAATTACTCGTCAAAGCTTCACACATTTCATCAATTTGTATAGTAAAGCTTCACCCAATGAAGAAAAACGAACGTTAGGACTTCACTACAACAACAAATAGGTCAGGGTCAGGCTTAGGCGTCGAGTCGACGTCGATATTTGGCGACCTCTGAGGAGGGTGGGTCCAGGCCACAGAGTGACCTTTGCATTAAACCTGACCCTGGTCTACAAGCATGTTTAACAAAAAGGAAATCTTAGACCTCGGACTTACTCCTTTGTTAAACCTGATTTTGAACAAAGGCTTTTAAAGCCCAGCATCAGGTTTAGATCTCAGTACAAGAGGGGCCAATATGTTTAACTTTCAGAGAAGGTCTTTAATTTATGTATCTGGACTGGAGTCACTGTAGGTCATGCCCTGGAGGAAAACACCGTCAGAAAAGAAATCTGCCCCCAACTTCGCTTTCTTACAACAATCCTCAATCTGCCTCTGTAGACTTTGAATTCTTTCTGTTTATCAGCATCTACCAGAGAGTCGTGAGCGATGTTACCAAGCTCTCTACACTCTGAATTGAATGATAAACGCTTGTTCAGCTGATCAACCTTAAACCTATCAAGCCCTTAACTTTACTCTCTTTCCAACAATCCCCAATCTGCCTCTGTAGACTTTTGACTACTTTCTGTTTTTCAGCATCTACCAGAGAGTCGTGAGCGATGTTACCAGGCGCTCTACACTGTGAATCGAATGATGAATGCTTGTTCAGCTGATCAACCTCAAACTTACCAAGCCGCTAGAGATATCTGCAAAAAGTTCCTTGAGCAAAGGAACGGAGACTCGGCTCATACCATCCATGCGATTGCCAATGCTCATATTGATTCAGGTGAGTCGAGCTGTTGCTGTAATTCCCCCGTCTTTTGTGAATCGAGTCTTGTGTTGTGCGCTGGAAATGATATGTATTAGCCTGTTGACTACTGAATCCTCTTATTCCCATAGGCTTAACACAGGGACCACCAGGTTCCCATAGGCTTAACACAGAGACCACCAGGTTCCCATAGGCTTAACACAGGGACCACCAGGTTCCCATAGGCTTAACACAGGGACCACCAGGTTCCCATAGGCTTAACACAGAGACCACCAGGTTCCCATAGGCTTAACACAGGGACCATCAGGTTCCCATAGGCTTAACACAGGGACCACCAGGTTCCCATAGGCTTAACACAGGGACCACCAGGTTCCCATAGGCTTAACACAGGGACCATCAGGTTCCCATAGGCTTAACACAGGGACCACCAGGTTCCCATAGGCTTAACACAGGGACCACCAGGTTCCCATAGGCTTAACACAGGGACCACCAGGTTCCCATAGGCTTTACACAGGGACCACCAGGTTCCAGTAAGCAATGGGTTAAAACTGAAGTTGAGTTCAGGGCCCTGTTTTACAAACATTTGATATTAATTGCAACTCATTTGCGATTGATATTAAAGGTAAAGACCAGTATTGGAAATGCCCCAATTTCAAAAAATGAAATGGAATTAGCTCTCATTACCAATCATGTGAAAGAATATGTTTTGACTAATACATGATGATACAAAATTTGCCGGGAAACCGCCTACTAATTCATATATTTGGTAAATTTGTTTCTCTCATGGTCTGTGAGAGATATAGGGTAGTACCATATACATCTTTCTGTGTATAGTGCTTGTAACTTTACGAAGAATGGGCCAAATTTCTTATCATTTTGATGATTCCAGAACCTTGCAGATGCTAGATGCTAGATGATCAACCTTTTCTGATCGATTCCACAACGTTTCTTTCACAATGCAATCGCATGACCATAACTGGTCTTTACCTTTAATTGCACCTATGTACATGAGAGATAGGAGACTGTGAAGTTCTTGCAATTGATTTGGATTAATAGCAACTCTTCTTAAGATGGGGCCCTGGTTATGCAATTTCATTGTGAAAAAGAGTGTATCAAAGTGATGGGAAAAGGTTAATCCTGTACGTAGCACATATATAGTTGTGTATACAATAAGGTTTTGGAATCATCAGAATGATAAGAAATTTGGCCCAGTCTTTTTAAAAGTCGCATGTCTGTACACGGAAATGTGTTAAAGGCCCACTGCACTACTAGTAGCTACTTGCGCCCTCTATATAACAAACCATGCCTAATCGGTGACCATTGGTCCCCCATGATCCTCTTTTTCTTATGTTAACTGAGAGCTGAGTTGATGAGATAACAACCTGTCCAGTGACCTTGCAGGGCAGTCTAATCCCTCCTGTAAACTATGGCAGATACGCTTTAAGGGGACTACACAAATATGTGACGTGAAAGTGAGGTCCAAATTACCTACATATTTCATGTCTTTTTCTCAAAATGATGAAAGAGTATCTGAAGAACCATATTTTTCTTTTTCTTAGCCTGGCTATGGCCTTATGCCGAGACCAAGAGGAAAGTAGCCAGGACCTGGTCCAATGTTCTAAGTCTCGCTGAGGACTACCCTCAACTCAACTTTGCCTTCTCACAGGTGAGAGGTCAAAGGTTGAATCAATCACAAGCAAGCATGACTGCTCAGAGGAAAGTAGGAAGATATTATGTGCAGTAAAACTGAAGATAAATGAATAATATTAGCAACAACGATTATGATAATAATACTTATAAAGCAGGAATTACTGAGGATCATCCTCTTCAAACTTGCCTTGATGCAGGTAAGAGGACAAAGGAAAATCATGTTTGTTTAGATTTCTATATCTATATTTGCAATTTCTTCGAAAATCGAATGGCAGGAAGAGATGAGCTTAACACAACATACTCAAAGAGAAAGTTTGTTTTAGAAAAAAATGCAATCATTGCTGTGCATCTAGAATTTAGTTCTCAAAATTTAGTTGTGTATATTGGATGGTGTTCGAATGATTTCTCATACCATTAATAGGTTTATGTTTCTATTATGGAAATACTGTGTAAACTACTTGAGTCTTTAATGTGACCAAAACTATTTTCCATGTTGAATGTACATTGGACCAATAAATGAATGAAAACTGAAATAATGATAATACTCAGTTTTTATATAGCTCTTATTGCAAACAGTAAGCGCTTCCAAACTTGGAAGTTATTACCCCGGCTTTAGCTGTGCTGCCATTACGGCGCTCTAGCATTTGAAAGAATTAATTCCTGCCAGGTACCCATTTACATCGCCTGGGTTGAGTGTGGCAAATGCAGATCCATGTCTTGCCAAAGGACATTAGTGCCGCGGCGGGTCTTGAACTGCGGACCTTGTGATTGACAGAAATGAAACGAATTATCCTATCCTATTCTTGGTTCTCATGCAGGCTCAGCAGTTTCAATGGGTAAAAACCGACTACCCGTCGCTCTACAAGAAGATACAGGAAATGGCCAAGACAGGGCGATTCATCCCTGTAGGTGGATGCTGGGTGGAGATGGATGGGAATCTGCCGAGCGGGGAATCCTTCGTCAGGCAGCTGCTCTATGGACAGAGGTTCTTCAAGGAAGAGTTTGGGAGCTACTGTACAGAGGTGAGTGGAGGAATTATAATAATGATGATGATGATGATGATGATGATGATGATGATGATGATGATAATGATCATGATAATTATAGTTGCATTTGTGTCGCGCTTGATACAAAGTTCCTATGTACTTTTGAAAACATTTTCAACAGTTATTTATAGGAAATATTATTGAGGGCAAATGTTGTAAAGTATCACCTGTGGAAAAAAAATGTTGATTATTAAAAAAAAAAAGGATAATTAATTTTGTGATATATATTTCATGTGTATAATTCATGTGTTTTTCTTTGTAATCAATATAATTATGTGTTTCTTATGTATGTATTATTCAATTAGGCGAGGCGTCAAAAATAAATATACCAGCCAGCGGCAGCTAACTGCACTTGTGCGTCCTGGCTGCATTTTTTAAATTAGCTCAGCCGACTACCGCTGGCGGTAGGAAATGGCATTCAAAAGCATGCGCCGGCTGCCGCCTTTCGAATGGAAACCGAGCCTTAGATCCCAGCCTGGCGCAAGCCGGCTGGGCTAATAAGTGAAAAATAATTGCCCCAGCCAGGCTTCGGCTGTAATTGCAGCCTCGATGCGCCAATACGTGAGGCGGCAGCCTGCTGGTATCGATATTTTTGACGCCTCGCCTTAATAAATGATGGAAAAAAAAAGGTATGTACTTGACATTGTAATGACGGTATTATCACTCTGGTCACTGTATCCAATCTCTAATCTTCATGTGATAGTGCACACGCTCCACTCCCTGGGTATTATGCTAGCCAGGCACCATTTTACGAGCGCACACATGCCAATCAAATTAACATTAACCATCGCTTCCGACCGGGTACCACATCTAGTTGATTTACAATCATACAATCAGGTAGGCAATAAATATATCGTAATTTGGACTATGGTGCTTGCCTCTTCTGGATAAAAGGAGTTGATAGGCAAAGACAAATGTGAATGGCAAAATGTTTTCCATTTCACTTCAGCTCCCTTTAGATATCATCACTGAGCCGGTAATATGCTGTTTCATAATGTAATCAAATTTAATGCACAAATCTTTGTTAAGTACCTAGTTACAAATAATTTCATTCACCTATTATGAATAGTTGTGTTTTAATAGTCAATACATTAATTGTTGCTAGGTGGAACAAACATTACGGCTTGTAATACCTAACACCACATGATGTATGCAATTCGCATACTGATTACTGTACATGCTGTTATTTTCGCATGATTAATTTTTTTCACGCTGAGCGACCTTAAAACATATTCATGGGTTCTTAAATTTGCATTGCACACTTCAATCCATTGTTCAAAACTCGCTTAAGAAATCATGCTTATATTTTTATTAGTTCTAAATTCGCGCTTGCCAATCTTAGCTCGAAATCTGTGAATATTTCTACTTTTACAGTATTGAAATACAATTATTCGTCACAGGTGAATACAAAAATGTGTAACATGGCACTTAACAAAGATTTGTGCACTACGTATATATGATTACTTTTCGCAAATGGTCTGTTAAGCCATACATACATGTGTGTCCCTTCTCTCTGTACAGTATTGGCTACCAGACACGTTTGGTTACTCCGCCCAGCTGCCTCAGATCTTAGCCGGTGGAGGAATGAAGAGGTTTGTCACTCAGAAGATGAGCTGGTGTCTCGTCAACAAGTTCCCTGTAAGTGGCTGCAAAAATATGCATAATTTGCCTCATTATTTAGATCTCTATCAGTTTCTGTCGTTTTCTCATGTTAATTTGTTCTGTAATTATGTCATTCTTTTCATTATTTCGATCTCTATCAATTTCTGTTGTTTTCTCATTTTAATTTATTCTGTTATTATTTGTCTTGTTCTTTTTTTTATTGTGTCATTTATTATCTCTTATTCTTGCCCCCCTGCCCCCACTGTCTACCCCATGTCGGACTCTCTCTTGGTCAGTTGATTGGTCTACCTCCCCCCTCTCTCTCTCTCTCTCTCTCTCTATCACTCTCTCCATCTATCTCTCCATCTATCTCTCTGTCTCTCTGTCTCTTCTTCCCTCAATCTTTTATTCTTCCTCTCTTACACCCCTCCAATTTCTCTGCGTCCCTCTCTTGACCAATTTATTGATTTACCTCTCTCTTTTTCTTTTCCCTCCTTCCCCCACTCGTTCGCTCTCTCTCTCTCTCTCTCTCTCTTTCTTTCTCTTTCTCACTCTTTCTCTCTCTTTCTCTCTCTTTCTCTTTCTTTGTCAGTCTCTGTTTTACTTTATGTTTCCCCCTACTGCTAAGAAAGCATGTGTATGCTTGAAAGTAAGCAACCAGGGGACTGACGGCTTTAAGTCCTCTCTGAGGGACTTGGAATTGAGGATTAATGCCTGACTTTTAATAAAGCATGTGTATGCTTGTAAGTAAGTAAGTAACCAAGGGACCGATGGCTCTAAGTCGTCTCCGAGGGACTTGATAATGAGGATTAATGCCTTACCAAAGGACACTAAGGCATCGACATGGTTTTAAACCCTGGACCTCTCGGTTACGAGACCACTGCTCTACCACTGAGCCATCGGGCCTCCCTCTCTCTCTCTCTCTCTCTCTCTCTGTCACAAACTATTTTCCCTCTCTTTCTCTTACAGCACAGTACCTTCTGGTGGCAAGGTATAGACGGGACAAAGTGCCTCGCTCACTTCCCTCCTACAGACACGTACCATGCTAGGGTCAAAGTGGAAGAAGTGAGTAAAGTTCCTTCTTCAAGTGGACTTCTTCAAGATTAAAACATACATAGAAAAGCAATAAATGTACAATTGTATTCAAATTAGTATACAATGTTAGTTATTTACACATGCGAATAAATACATTGACATACCGGTATATATATATATATATATATATAGTAGCTTCTCAAGATTAAAACATACATAGAAGACAGTGCTACTCAAAGCAATAAATGTATAATTGTATTCAAATTAGTAGTCAATGTTAGTTATTTACATACCGGTACATGTACATGCAAATTAATACATTAATACATGACAAATGCACTTTTGTTCTTTTCTCTCTTATCTACATGAATATATGCCTGGCTTAGGTTCTCAATTTTCAACATGTTTTTTTTTTAATCGTACCTCTCCTCATACTGATTATTCACATCTCTTTTTCTATTTGCCATTTATTTATTTTGTCTGCCTTGTGCCATTGTGTTTCATGACCTCTTGGGGAACGATTATGTTTATTTATTATTTTATGACCTGCAATCGTTTCATCCGTCAGTCATGACCTAGTAAATGGTTCGCAATCTTAAAAAATAATGTGACTGGGAGTCGTTTATTAATGTCGTGGTTGCAGAGGTGCGTTACGACACCAGGGCATCAAAATGACATGGTGACTCAAATCATTGTTTGTTTTTCCTATTTAAACTAATGAGCATCTGTACATACTTGATATCTTTTAATGATATATACTTAAAAATATAGATAAAAATATTCGGGGGAAATTTTTAAAACAAGGCCACCATGGGCTTTTCCTTTGTTCTCCTATTTCATTTAAAGTTATTGTATAAACCGGACGTTCTCTGCCTTTGTATGTTTATATGCTTTTGCTGTGTTTTTTATGAAAAGAAAATGAACAAACGAATGAAGGAACTTTGTTCAATAGAAGAGCTGCCTCTCTCATCAAATAGTTTGTATAATGATGCTTTTTCTTTGCAGTGTCTGAAAAAAGCTAAGAATAATCAAGAAAAAAAAACATTGTGACCACAGCCAAAGGCTCTATGGTTTTGGAAGCAGGGATCTTTAAGCTCATGAAATAGTTTTCCTATTTCACTCAAAAATTATCATAAAATAGTTTTGTATTATGCTGCTTTTCCTTTGCAGGGTCTTGAAAAAAACTAAGAATAATCACGACAAAAATCATTCTGACCACAGCCATATAGGCTCTAAGGCTTTGGAAACAGGGATCTTATAGCTCATGAAATAGTTTTACTATTTCACTCATAACCATTAGATATTTTATATAACAATGCTTTTTCTTTGCAGTGTCTGAAAAACTAAGAACAATCAAGACAAAAATCATTCTGACCACAGCCTTAGGCTCTAAGGCTTTGGAAACTGACATCTTTTAGCTCATAAAACAGTTTTACTATTTCACTCATAACCATGAAATAGTTTTGTATAACGATGCTTCTCCTTTACAGTGTCTGAAGAATGCAAATAACCATCAAGACAAATAATACACCGATCACATCCTCATGGTCTATATATGGCTTTGGAAAAGGAGGATCTTTTAGCTCATTAAATAATTCTACTTTTTCACTCATAATTTTGTATTATGATGCTTTTCCTTTGCAGTGTCTGAAGAATGCATCGAACCATCAAGACAAAGGACGCTCAGATCACAGCCTCATGCTCTATGGATTCGGGGACGGGGGAGGTGGACCAACGTGAGTCATAATTCAATCCCTGCTCAGGCATACAGGGCCCTGTCTTATAAACCATTGCGATTGATCTGGACCCTGTTTCATGAAACTTGATATCAATAACAAGTTACAAGCTACTGTTATAAGCTACTGAAATCAAGACATCTGATTGGCTGAGAGCAAATTTGTCTTAGAAATTGAGCATTTTGTATAGATATAAAGTTTTATGAAACAGGGCCCCTGGATCAATATTGAAAGTCCTTCAAGCAATCCCAATCTTTCTTAAGTTAAGATTTGAGATTGATATTGAGTTGTGAATGATTTAAACCAATTACAATCTTTCCCATATTTGATCTTGTGGAGGAATATTTAAAGGAATGACTATTATTTGGCCCTCATGCAGAGTCATGTTATGAACCCTAGATTCCTGTGTACTTCCTGAAACCGTCCATAAAAACATAGAAATACTGTGTATCCCTATTTTGCATCTATAGGGAGATCTGTAGAAAAAATTGCTTTAGAAGATTAATTGGAGCATTAAGTGGATCCAGAATTCAAATTGTGTTTCAAATTTAAGTGGTTTTTTTCAAATTGCCCTTGGAGCAGATAACACCAGACTAGATGTCAACTAATCTATAATGATCCACCCTGTCCTGACCTTTGACCTTTGACCTTCTGATGACAGGAATGACATGCTGGAGCGGATGCAGAGATTGGAGGATGTGGACGGCATCCCGAGGGTCAAACCGTCCACCCCGAATGAATTCTTTTCAGCCATAGAGAAAGATGCAGGCAACCTATGTACATGGGAAGGAGAGCTGTACCTGGAGTTACATCAGGGAACCTTCACCACACAGGCAGAGGTAAGGTTGACACCCCTATATTGTGAATGGACCAATCCACTTTTAGTAAGAGGACATCACACCCTGGACTCATGCATTTGGCTTGATGGGGGAGATAAATCATATGTGCCTCAAGCATTTCAACCTCTTTTTTTAAATTCAATTAAAGTGAAGTGCACCAGTATGCAATTCTATGTGAATTGCGTCAATTAGGCAGAGGTGAGAATTTCCCCCTGTATCGTGAATGAACTAGGCCACTTTTTAGTAGGAGAAGATTGTATTATAGACACATACATTTTGCTTGATAGGGGAGTTTAATCATATTTGCCTCAAACATGACATTTTTTGTTCGTAAAATTAACATCACCAGCTGCACACAAATCTATATACATGTAAACTGCTATTTTTTAAATTAACTAAATAGATGGTCAATTGTTTCTTATCGTACATTTTATTTTACTGTAGGAGTACTCACTATTCTCAAGACATGTTTTATGGAAACTATTGGTGATTTGAATGAAAATTGCAATACACATTCCATGTAGTAAGATTCCTGAACTCTATCAAATCCCATTATCCCGTATCAGCCTTTCATTGTTAAATGAAGCAAGTTTCAGTGTAGGAATATATCTTCGAAATTGATGTTCTCTCTAATATCTCACTCTGTTTTCTGTTATTTCTCTCATATCTCTCTGCTCTACCTTTCTCTCTCCTGAATCTCCCTTCTCTTTTGCTTTCCTCTCTCTCCTGTACTATGTTGCCTCTTATTCTGTCTTTTTTTTCATTATCTTTCTCTACTCATCACTATGCATATTACCCCTACCCTGTACTCTACCTCACCCTCTATCTCTCTGTCTTGCCCTCCCTCTCCCTTACCTCCATTCCCTCTCTCTCTCTCTCTCTCCTCTCTCCCGTCTCCCCTCTTGCCCTCTCCTTTCTCCCCTCCCCCTCTCTCTCTTTCTTGCCCTCTTTCTCCCCCTCCCTCTACCGGTATTCCAACTCTCTCTCTCTCCCTTCCTCGCACCCCCTCTCTATTTCTCCCTCTTTCTCCCCTCCCCTCTCCCCTCTTCTCCACCTCCTCTCTCTCCCCTCTCTCTCTCCTCTCTCTCTCCTCTCTCTCTCCTCTCTCCCCCTCTCAATAGATAAAGCGCCTGAATAGAAAGCTAGAGCACAAGTTTCAGCAGATAGAGTTTCTCTCAGTCCTTCAACCCATCGGTAAAGAAGTCTTGACCCAGAAGACCATCTCAGAGAAATGGAAGAGGCTTCTCCTTCATCAGTTCCATGATGTTCTACCCGGGAGCTGCATTAGAGAGGTACATGTAACGATAAAGATGAAATTGATATTAATGATTGGTATGATAGTCATGGTCATGACGATGATAATGATGATGATGATGATGGTGATAATGATGAAGATGATGGTGGTGGTGATGATGATGGTGATGGTGATGGTGATGATGATGATGGTGATGATAATGATGGTGTTGATGATGAGGATGGTGATGATGATGGTGATGATGATGATGGTGATGATGATGATGATGATGGTGATGATGATGATGATGGTGGTGGTGATGATGGTGGTGATGATGGAGGTGATGATGATGGTGATGATGGTGGTGATGATGATTGTGATGGTGATGATGATGGTGGTGGTGATGATGGTGGTGATGATGAAGGTGATGATGATGGTGATGATGGTGGTGATGATGATGAATATGATTGTGATGGTGATGATGGTGATGGTGATGGCGATGGTAATGATGATGATGATGGTGATGGTGATGGTGATGGTGATGGTGATGATGGTGATGATGGTGAAGATGATGGTGATGGTGATGATAATGATGGTGTTGATGATGATGGTAATGATGATGGTGATGGTGATGGTGATGGTGATGATGATGGTGATGATGATGATGATGGTGATGAAGGTGATGATGATGATGATGATGGTGATGAAGGTGATGATGATGATGATGATGGTGGTGATGATGGCGATGATGGTGATGCTGATGAAGATGATGATGATGATGGTAATGATGATGATGATGATGGTGATGATGATGATTTATGGGGATGATCGATGGATGGATATCACATGAAATATTTTCTGATTGTCTGATTGTCGTTTGTTTGTATTCTATTTCCAGGTAGTAGAGGATGCCCTAGGTGACATGCAAGCCTTGATCAAGGAGCTGGATACGGAGAAGAAGAATCTTGTCAAAGCTCTGTCGACACACACTAAGGTGAGGTTCATCCACCTACAGCCTTTTCACACACAGCTAAAATTCTATAAACATGACTAGTATAAACGTGTTTCGAACGTGTTTAAACTAATCACGAGCCTTTCACACACAGAAATTTTGTTGCGATCGTTAATAGTTTCGTGATTAACTACTGCTCGTAAAATGCGCAGTAGTGCCATTGCGCATTGAAGGTCATGTCATGTCAATCAAAGCGCACGCTCCATCCAGTTTAAACACGTTTAAACACGAATTTCCTGTCACACACAAAATGTCAAGCTCTCTAGATACGAACTTCGTATCTGCAGCCTGCTTTTAGGGGCGTATGGATCGCGACTTCGTATCTATCCCAACATCGTATAAACGATGTTCACACTGGGAAATTTTGTCTATAAACATGTTTAAAACTGTTGAGTGATTCTAATCATCTCTAGATACGATGAATTTTAGCTGTGTGTGAAAAGGCTGCTAGACTTGTTCTTATTTATGTTTTATTGATTTAAAATAGAATCACAATATTTATTTAATTAGAGAGTCATTGAAATTCAACAGTAATACAATACATGAGATAAGAGAATTGAATGTCTGAATGTTGGTATAATCACACAATGATGAAAGATAGATTTAGCAGTGTTGCCAATTTAAAGAAAAGGTCAGTCAATCTGTTTGATTGTGTTTTGGACAATGCCAAAATGACTTTATGAATAAACCAGTATTTCTTTAATGCCACAAGTTGTGCTGATGTTTTATTGATCCAGTTTGACTTACAACCAATCAAGTGTACTCATTTATTCTTCATTCAATCTCTTGTAATCTCATGTAGGGTGGAAAGCCATCATCAAAGGGCGGGTCAAAGGTCATTTCTAACAACCTGAGTTGGGATCGCACAGAGGTAATTGACCTCCGTCAGAGTTCAACGACCAGTGAGGCAGGGTCAAGCATCGATGGTCCTACGCAGGCCAAGAAGACTAAGCGGATGAAAAATGAATCTGAAGCAGAGAAGAAATTTGGTGAGTGAAGCAAGTGCAGTATTATTAGTAGTGTTCTGTAATAGCTGTATAGGCCCAATGACCTTTGTCTAGGCAAGTCCAAGATATTTGGTGATATGCTGTCCCGTAATAACAGCTCTGGTCACCATCCCAGGCATGTCATTGTCCGCCCGTTGCTCAGTGCTCTTTAGCCTCCAAGCCGTTCATCCATATTTATTTAACTGATGTTTAAGTTTCATTACCTAAAGAACTATGTTATGTTGAACTGTATTATGTATATGTCTGTTTATCCAATACTTGAATTACTGTTTATATAAGATTTGAATTCCTGTTTATCTAAGATTTAAGTTTAATTACTTGTAGAAAAATAATATCTGTTGAACTGTTTTGTGTAATCTGCATATTCATTTTTGTCGCGCCTTGATCAGAAATTTCGGATACATGCGCGCTATAAATTTATATTATTATTATTATCCTTGCTCAGATCAAAGCTTTCATTGATAGGTTAAAGAGCTGAATTTCCCAAGAAGTAGTCCTAGACCCAAAGATCCATCAAAGACAATATCCCAAGATGTAGGCCTAGTCCTACACCCAAAGATATAGCAAAGGCAATATCCCAAGACTCAGTCCTTGGCCCAAAAATATTTTTTAAAAGACATCTTTGTTCATCTTCATGCAGGGTTATGATAATGTTATTCTATTATTGGGTGTAATCTTGACAGTCTAACAACAATTGTTACAGTTTTTTTTTTTTTTTGATATGTGTAGTTCTCATGGGAAAAAAATACTGGGGCTCAGGGCGAATTCAACCCTGAGATGCCAAAAAGAGTCCCCCAAAATTAGAGCCCCCACAAATTTGTATAGAGTTCAATGCAAAACAAATTTATGAGTGTAATTTTCATGCAAGCAAGCTTGGAAAGTAGCCCCAGAAATTTTTTAATATTTTTATATCCTGGTAGCTCTAGTCACCATTCCTGCCATGTCCGTGTCGACCGTTGCTCAGTGCTCCGTAGCCCCCAAGCCCTTCGTTCCTGCTCAGATCAAATCTTTCAACAATGGGTACAAGCTGTGGAATGAACACCTGGTGGCCTTTGTAGACTCCTGCGGAAGATTGACCCAGATGAATCTGAGTGAGCCTGGCTGGCAGACCAGAGGAACTGAACCTGTCTATCAGAAACCGTTAGTAATATTTGTTTATTCAGGCTTCTTCAGATTTGACATAATACCCCACCTCAAAAACCGTCGCTGCAAAATTGTTTTGTTTAAATGGTGTAAAATGAAGCTTTGTGGGGATGTAAGAATTCAGAAATGCAAAGTGCACAAAGCTTAGCTACTTTATTTTGCAATCACAGTTTTATTGAGCAATTTACTGCCTCTTCCCCGCTTTGGGATGTACATTTAGTCATCCTTACCTTAAGTAAGTCTGAGATTTCCTGAGATAATCAGTTTTTTAAATAAGTGATGGCTCTGTGTATATATATAACAGGACATTTAAATATGGCCTGTGACTGCCATCTGGATATAACTATTCATTGTGTGTCTGGTTTTGTTCTTGTTTGTGTCATTGGTTTGTACAGTGATGTCATCCCTGATGGTGGTCACTATGGCAACCAGTTTGTAATGTTTGATGATGTTCCTCTCTACTGGGATGCATGGGATGTGATGGACTATCATCTGGAAACAAGGTGAACATAATCATATAATAATTGGATGGCTTTGAGTGTGATAAAAGAATATATTGCCATGAGCTATATGACTATATTTAAAGAGTCGAAGACGAGTCCAATGTTGTAATAGCAAGAGCAATTGTTCATGTATCACACAAAAACAAAGCCATATATTATCATTATTATTATCTATATCAGGCTGACTAGGAAACGAAAACAATATTGGTCAGTCATCCGGGTACTGAGCTAGAGATATTGAGTACACTGATTTATTACACCACTTGGAAGCCTTATATAGCTAATGATATAATATATCATTGTTGTAGAGTATCGCCAGAGTGCATATGTCTGCTCGATTTTACAAAACAAACGTGCAACCAACACGAAATGCCTGACTGTGTTTCTTTTAAGGCAATACGTATTAATTAAAATATTGAGAAAGGTTTAATTTTACTTATTCTATTCATATAAGCCCCTTGTCCAGCCTCTACTGTTTGCGTGTCGAGCGCCCAATCAGCCGATAAAATAAAACATCCTCAACGTTGAAAGTAGACGTAGCCATTCCTGTCATCGTGTGGACGGAAATTTGGGGGATTGCCGATCAGTGGAGAGACCGCGCTGTGTGTGTGGGACAAAAACAAAGAACGGACTGAATCTGGACTAATAAGCCCCCCAAAAGTCACCTTTCTTGTTAAACAAAGTGAATGAGTGTGCAAACACCGGAACTTCCATTTTTCCAATGACGAAATGACACCGTCACATTTTCTTGACAATATCACATTTGTCATGAGATTTTTTGGCACAGCTGCTTTCTAGAATATACATAATTAAAAGAGATCAAGCACTAGAGGAATAGAATATAATTTGTTGTCAATTTAGAGTGAAACATTAGACGTGCAGACATAGGGCTCCACTACATATATTTGTACTTTGTACATGTACATATATGAAAACTATATAAATGGACAAAAATGCTGTGAATTTTGATCGCAAAAACAATGATTTTGAATCTCTTATAAACGTATGGCAAATTTAAGGATTTTAAACAATTTTTCCTTTTCTACTCGTACACCAATCATGCTTGTTAGCACTCTGAATCAATACTTATTGAGCAAACCACAAAATGTGGAATGATTGTTGCGATAGGATTAATGTATGAAAGAACTATGATAATCTTCTTCCGCAGGAAGCCAGTGAGTGAGTGTATATCGATTGAGATTGTGGAGACCAATGCTCTTCAGGTGTGTCTGAAGGTTGGACTTAAGATCAGCGAGAGGAGTAGCATTGAACAGAGGATTGTACTCAGAGCTCATTCCAAGTACCTTGAGTTTCATACAAAGGTATGATTGCAATACAGATGAAGGTGATGGTGGTGGTGATGGTGGTTATAATGGTGATGATGATGATCGATAGATGATGATGCTGATGAAGATGGTGATGATTTTTATAGCAGTGATGAGGGTTGTGATCATAAGGGGTGGAGATGATGCTTGTAATGGTGATGGTGATAGTGATGATACTTATAATGATGGTGATGATGATATTACTTATTTTGATGATGATGGCGATGCTGGTGGTGATGATGATGGAAATGATGATGATGATGATGAAGATGGTGATGATTTTTATAGCAGTGATGAGGGTTGTGATCATAAGGGGTGGAGATGATGCTTGTAATGGTGATGGTGATAGTGATGATACTTATAATGATGATGATGATGACAGTGATGGTGGGGATAATGAGGAGGAGGAGGATGTATAATGAAGAGGAGTTTCATGATGAGTATTAAACAATTATGAAACAAATATGAAATGAGTATGAAATAATGCCTGTAGGACGCGTTTCCCAAAGACGTTCCCACAGATGTTCCCTCAGACAAAACACACATCACAGCTAATAATCACATATCATTAGATGTTTTCACACTCCGCCAGATATCGTAATGATGGGGATGAGGATGGTGATGATGATAATGGGCATAACAACATTGAGCAGAGGAATGAACTTTTGAGCTTATTCTGAAATATATCTATTATATTATGTTGTAATTGTTGCTTTGACTTAAGGTTCACTGGGACGAGTCACACAAGTTCCTGAAGGTGGAGTTCCCGGTCAATGCTCACTCGCCAGAGGCGACCTTTGACATCCAGTTCGGCCACCTAAAGAGACCTACGCACCAGAACACATCCTGGGATTGGGCTAGATACGAGGTAAAAAGAGAAAATGTAGACATTGTAATATTAAAATAGTAGTAGTAGAGGATGGCTATGAAGCTTATCAGAATATTATGTACAGTATGCGAAAACTACCAGAAGTGAGGCACAGCAAATTAAGAAATTTGGAATGCAATCGCCCCTTCCTTTTTTCTTTCTTTTTTTTAAGGAGAGGGGGGACAGGTTACTGCCAGTACATAATCTTTCTACGAACTATGTGGAATCAAGAAAATTAATAGGGGGAGGGGCATTTCATAATCAAATGTGAATATTTTTTTTTTTTTTATTCCAATATATAGTAGTGCAGAATATGTAATAATAATAATAATAATAGGCATTTCTATAGCGCCGTCTATCTAGATAATTCTATTCCGAGGCGCATTTATTATTACCCCGACTTTAGCCTAGCTGCCATCTATCCGTCTCCAGCATTTCAAGGAATTAATTCCTGCCAGTACCTATTTACATCACCTGGGTTGAGGGTGGCAAAATTGAAATCAATGTCTTGCCAAAGGACATTAGTGCCGCAGCGGGACTCGAACCGCGAACCTTGTGATCTACAGTCCGGCAACGTATCCACTCAACCACGACACCTCTATGTTACAATTTTGTGTATTTGAATATTTGTGATTGATGAAATTCCAAGGATGACGCTGCACGCGATTCTACCAAATTAAATTATAATTCTGTTCCACAGGTAGTTGGCCATAAGTGGATAGATCTATCACAGTATGACTGGGGTGTAGCTATACTCAATGACTGCAAGTATGGACACTCTGTCATTGGAAATGTCATGAGGATTTCATTGTAAGTACAGCTGGATTGTTGCTATGGCAATGATGATGAGGAGGATGAGGAGAGTATTGGTGGGAGTGGTGGTAGTGATGAAGATGAGGAGGAGGATGGTGATTGGTATGTTTCAGTCTAGATGGTGTAGCTATACTCAATGACTGCAAGTATGGACACTCTGTCATCGGAAATGTCATGAGAACTTCATTGTAAGTATACCGCTTGTTGTCATGGTAATGCCGATGAGGAGGAGGAGAATGTACATGTAGGTGGTGGTTGTAGTACAGTAGTGGTAGCGATAATGATGGTGATAGTTATCGTGATGGTGATGATGATGATGATGATGAAATTAGTGGTTGAGTTGATGATGGTGGTGGTGATGATGGTGATGATGATATTAGAGGTTGCGTTGATGATTGTGATGATGATGGTGTTGATGATGATGGTGATGATGATGATGATGATGATGAGGATGATGATATTATTGGTGGTGGTGATGATGATGATAATATTAGTGGTGGTGGTGATGACGATGATGATGATGATGATGATGATGATATTAGTGGTGGTGGTGATGACGATGATGATAATGAGGGTGGGCATGCATTAGTATGAATTGGGTGTGACCATAATAAATGACTGCAAGTATGGAAACTCTGTCATCGGCAATCATGATCCTAGATATGAGAGATGCTGCAGACAATGATTAAAATCAAGAAATGATATTAAACATCTCCCAATGAAGCCCCCCAAATTGAATATGCTAATCAGATCAAAAGCCACAATCTCTTTATGGCAATATATAAAATTTCCTTTTGCAACAAACTGTGAAATATCAATGTAGATTACCTTGAAATTCACAACTTTGATTTCTTTTTTCTCCTCAGGTTACGTTCCCCTAAGAAGCCTGACCCTGAAGCTGATATTGGTGATCATATCTTCTCATATGCCATAATGCCTCATACAGGTAAACAAACTAAGAAATGATACACCTTTCTAATGAATTGAAATATAATAGGACTAATTAAATTTTGATTGATGATAAATCATTATATTGTGATAATGGATGTTGTGGAACTTATTATTAGGAGTCTTGTTGGTTGAAACCTGGGTCATGTTTCATAAAACTAAATATCTATGTCAAATTCGCTGTCAGCCAATCAAATGCCGCGATTTCAGTAGCTTATAACAGTTATTGTAACTTGTTGTTGCTTAAAGAGAAGGTTCATTGATTTAAAAAAAACTAACTTTAATGTCATTATTGCAAAGGTGACACTTTGATTGGCTAAGGTTATCAAAAGCCAATGCTTGGAAACATTCAAAGTAATGATTATTAACAATTACAAAACGCTTAGATACAGCCCCCCCCCCCCCCCCCCCCCCCCCCCCCCGACATAGCACGTGAAAAGCTCCCCGGTCGCTGCTAATATATGACGTCACATGTTGAACATGATTTGCACTTGCAGACGATGTCCCATGACATCTCACACAATTTCAGTGCCTGTTTTGTCATCTTTTGTTCAGTTATTTCTCTTACTTCAATACCCTCAGGCGAAATGTTTAATATATTGCCTCATTCTAAACCCCATACATGGTATTATTTTGATGAAAAATGCAAGGATTAAAAAAAAAGGAATCCGTCGCTTGTAAACAAAATAAGACGCCATTGTATTTTCAGCTGCATACACCGCGGCATGTTCGGCGTTTCAAGAGGGAAAAAATGACATCCATGCTATCATTCCGGAGGTTTTTAAATTTGAAAGTGGTTTCTTTGATTGTTCATTAACCCATATCCTGTGTATTTACAAACAAAAGAATTTAGTTATCAGAATGGGGGTCATATCCCTTTTTGAATAGTGTAAAATTCCATCACATTTATATACACTAAGCTCATTATAATTTGAGAAATAAAAGCATTGCAATTATATTCATTCTTTATGGGATGTCGTCTGCTTGGGCAGGGTTGGTTCATATTGTGACAGCATTAAAACATCGTTATTTTTCCGGCGAATCTCTCGCATATCCCAGATGCTATGGAGGTTGTTTTATTTGTATTTTTATAAACCACCCGATATGTAGTTGACCTAAAACTTGCATGATGGCGATCTGTTAGCTTACCAGTTTCTAGTAATACGCTATTTGCCATATTTGTGATTTTCTATGAACCCGCACTTTAAACAGGGTCCTGCAATACACAAATCTTGAAACCTGTGTAAAACTTGTCGTACATGTATTATAAAGAGCTCTGATATAGCAAAATACCTGAGGAATAAAATGTGTTTTCCCCCTATATGACAATATAATTTTCATGGTCCCAATGTCCTAATTATAATGAGCTCCAACTGTATATTGTAGATGAAATTCTACCAATTGTAAATCATTTTCTAGGAATTTTCCTGCAAGTTCAGACTACATACATGGACATGATTTTTTGTATTATGATTGTAGTAAAAATGAGATAGAAAGAAAAGAAATATATACAATTATTACCCGTATCAGACATCTGAGTTGGTCATTTACAAAACCGTATTGCCCTAGTTTTCACTAGCAGTGGGAATGGAGGGGTATATTCTTTGTATTTTCCTTGGGTCTCCCTGCCTGTATAGACTTTGCGTGTAGAGACGAGTGAAAATATAGTCTTGTATTGACCGCGCCGTATTTTGTCATTTTCATTGCGCATCTATTAAACCTGCGCACTTTGCGCGCCCTCTATTGTGACGTAATAATCACACCAATTAAGGCACACTGTTTGCAGTGTATCAAAAATTTCGTCAAGCACTGCTGGTTGACGAAGTTTGTTCAGTTCTTTTAGACTGTCATGGTTGATTTATGTATTTGCTCTAGATGTCTGATTTGGATAACAGTAAAAACATTGACTGGCTGAACTTTCGGTAGATACCACATATATTGCCCTCATAAGATCCATATTGCCCTCGTCTATGACTCGGGGCAATATGAGTCTAGTTTGGGCAATATAATTTGTATTTCCCTCAAGGCCAGTCAATATTATATAACTATTCGCCAGTTTTTAGAGGAAAAGCAGATTGAATCATTCCTTTTCAAAATTGACTTGCTGATTATAGGTACCTACCAATCAGGAGGTGTGATCCAAGCAGCCTATGAATTCAACAACCCTATGACACTAGTGCCTGTGTCATCTGTAACAACCCTTGACCTGAGGGAGTTCCTTACCATAGCGCCCTCTTCTGTCATCATTGAGTCAGTCAAGAAGGTATGCTGTGTTTGGAAGGTTACTCCCAACATTTGCTCCAACGACAATTGCTCCTGGCTTTATTTCATCAAAAGTATTGGGTTAGGGTTAGGGTTGCAATTGGGTTTTAGGTTGGGTTTAGGGTTAGGGTTGTTATTGGGTATTAGGTTGAGTTTAGGGTTAAGGGTTAGGTATAGTGTTGGGTCCAGGGATGGAGTTAGGAATTCGGTTGGTGTAGGAAATTACTGCGGATCAATTGTTCAGCAGCATGTGTTCTCCAACTGGTTGGCAGATACAATTTCTGCAGCATCAAACTTGTTAAAAACATCATATTCCTTCAAATTTGTCCATTAGCAATTGCTATAATTGTCTAGTTCCAATTGTCTTGTACTGAAAATTATTGAATGCATCCCTCTTCTTGTTTGTTGGTGAAGGAATACATATTTTTTTTATAGATATGTCTTACTATAAGGTAGGGCACAGATGTAGTACGGATACATTATTTGGCGAAAAATGGTAGTTAATGATATTTTTTTAGTATGAAACTAATAGAGAGCAGAGAAAGCAAAGAAAATCTCAGTCCTAAAACTGTGTTTGATTAAATACAACTTTGAATCTTTTTACTGAAAATTAACAAAATTATCCCTTTTTTTTTATAACTGTCTTAAATCCCTTTTAGCTTTTACTCATACTTTCACTGATCACTTTCTATTTCCATAAAATTTGTTATTAAAGGCTTAAGGCAAGGTTTAACAGACAGTCACATGTATACGTCCTTCTCAGTATAGTGAAACATGCCTGCACGTCTGGAAGTTAATGCAATATTTACTATCCAAGGGTTGAAAATATTAACCTTAAAGTGCAAAATTTGAATGGAGTTGTCTCTCTTTTAATTCACAGTCTGAAGATCGAAACAACTGTGTGGTTATACGCTGCTATGAGGCTTACGGAGGAGAAGTAGTCGCCAAGCTAACAACCAAGTTGAAAGCAAGCAAGTTCACAAGGTAAGATAGCAAAGAAAAGAGGCAACACTTATCTGGGGAAGGTAAGAGTGGGGAATATTCGTGGATGTTGAATTTGTTATGCTTTTGCTTGAACACCAATCTTGGTGTGGATTGCACAGGTGGATATTTAGATAACAGGATAGGATGCAGATTATTGACAAGTGAAGTATCACAGAAATCATGATTTCCAGTCCAATCCAATGCAATTCAATCCTGGAATTTGTAGAAAGCCAATATCTAGTTGCCTAATCAAAGGCACCGATAAGGCTGAAAAACTATATATACTGAATATCGAGGGTTCAGTGACACAAAGACGTAAATCCATATTTTGCCTAAATGAGTATTTGATATCAAAATGTTCAGAAAAATTTAGGGCTTTCCAAGACTTAACTTCACCCAACACCCCATTGAAGTCAATGGCTAGTGAAACATAGACTTAACTCCTAAAGGCCCAAGTGCTCAGTGACACATAAACCACTTTTTCTCAAAATGGCCAAAATGGAGTTACGTCTTTGTGTCACTGACCCCTCGATATGCTGTTCATGATTCGCATGTGAAAGATGGGTGGTGACTAGTTGTAAGCAATGTGGGATAATGATGTCTTTAGTTGGGTTTTGAAAGTGAATAGCTGGTCACATGAGCAAAGATACTGAGAAAGACTCTTCCACACTCTTGGTGCGTGCAGAAGCCGCGAATGATCTATCGCCACGTGTTCATCAACTCTCAAGCAGATATTTACAAGCTGATCGCAAATTTGCTTGAGATGTACATGTTTAGGGGACCAGCATGTCTGAATTTACACACAATACACAATAAAACAATAATCTCATATCTTGAACATGAAACATTGTGATAAAAGGGTTACTGGGATGTTGATGATAATGATGACATTGTAAATAAATGATGATAATAATAAGATTGTTTAAATATATTTGATGCTTGCACCCAGTTAATAAAGATTGATCGATCTGTAATTAAAAAATAGTCAGAAAAAAAATCTTGGAACCAGCAGAATTTACTGGATGCAAGCCACAAATATGTTTAAACAATTTACATTTCTCCCAGGATGCATTACAGTTATAAAAGATAATAACGATGTCGTCAATGCTCTTGTCTCATTCTGTTTCAGGTGTAACTTCCTAGAAGAAGAAGATGTAGGATCTGGGGGATTCTTGGATGAGAGTCCATCATCGGTTAGCTTCAGACTCGGACCATTCCAGATAGCCACGATCAAGATACAACTATAAAGGCTCTTTCGGATATGGTGCAGTAAACAGCTGAATTATGTGAAATCAATCTATGACAAAAACAATCATACCTAGCATTCTATAGGCTAATGGTTAAGGGGAGATGGTAGTCCGTTTCCATGTGCAGAAAGTCATAATTTGCTGATACCAGACTTGGTGGAAATACCATGCAAGTCTGCACACTGCAAACTCGTAGTCCCATCAAGAAATACCCTGTAGACTCTCAGAGAGTCCTCGGGTGAGGGATATGTAAGATAATTAATTTTTCATATGGGATGATCGGTAGAAAATGCAGGGCATTATGTAGATTGTTATTATTGATGATATTCTTTAATAAAGGTAGAATTTCTCTGGAAAGTGATATTCAATAACGTTTGGAACTGACAATCTAGTAATGCATATCTAGGTTTTTTTTTTATCATAATACAATCATGACAGAGAAGTTCAAAAATTGCTTTTCTGTTTAAGAATTTGGTTTTGATCAAGTACAATTTTCTCATAGTGATACTACAGTATTTTATTGTTTTCTTCCCAGACCAGAGCTGAATCGCTTTCCACTCCTATGTATTTTTTCAACTGTTTCACTCAAGATTTTATGATATTGCTGAATCTGTTGAAATCGATTTTGAATACAACTCTGGCAATATCATCTAGGCTATATACATCAAAACAAATCTATAATGTGCAAGTGATTTTGTAGGCATTCCATTAATGTGCTGTGACAGCTTCATCTGTTTACAAGTTCAAGAATTTCCGAGTCTCCCTTATTTTGTTTGAGGACAATGGATTCCGATTGTATCGACAAACTTTTTTAAAAAGTGATATGTTATTTTTAAAGTAGCCCAATCATGTGAAGCAATGTGTGTAGCACTTTGTAACTGCAAGGAAATGTATTATATCAAATACCGTTTGGTTTTGATTGGATACTTTAATGTGGATGTAAAAGACTTTATACAGTGTTGAACAGCTAGCAAAGATTTAAAACAATTGAGTATGCTTGCTTGTGTTGTATTTTGTATTGTCATTAGTTTCCAGTTCGTGTTGTAGACAATTATGAGAATATCTGTTATATCCACTTTTAAAGTGAATAAAAAACATATTTCTGCCAAAACAAGATGAAGATGAAAGTTATATTAAATAATTGTTGTACTGCACTTAGGGGAGCCTTCCAAAGTTGCGACTGTGCCCGGACGCGTCGGGGCGCGATGAATAGAACAGTCGCGTCTCAAGAGACGCATTGAGGCGCAAAGGGGCGCGAAGGGGCGCAATAGTCACCCTCACCTGATTCTTGCATATGAAAAGAAACTGTCTATTGTTGGTATAAACCCGCTCTATTCTTCTTGCGCCCTTTTGCGCCCTACCAGGCGATGGAAGATTATCTTTCCCGTCATTGTTCTCGCTCGGGATGCGCTGTACAGCTTAAACTTGATATATAGAAAGTATTTGTCGGCCAAAGCCTGTCTTCCCCTCCTCCGGTTCTCGTTCTGATAAACATTCCATTGTTTGTAAAAACTTGATGTATTCTTCTCGCGTCGCGATCTATTCTTCTCGCGCCGTTTTGCGTCGTAACGGGCGGGGTATTATCTTCCCAATCATTGTGGAAGCTTTGCGATGTACATTGCTACAGCACAGCATGAACTTGTCTGGTGGGAGCGTCTTTGTTTCGGGGGGCAATCAACACACTCGTTCATCTTGATCAGAATAAATTATGATTTTATTTTTGTTGGGTTTAATACGCCTCCTTTTAATTTTTGTGACGACTGTATGAAATGTGAAATAAAGATGACTATGTACGATTAATGGCTGTTTTATTGCGAGCTTGATTGTCCCCAACAACAAAATAATAAAAGACGAATGATGTGAATGAATACATGTATGCGGTTATAGTCGGCAAATTGATTACTGTTTAGGACGCTTGTTATGTTTGTAATTTGAATGATTATCAACATATTTGTATAATTCCCACATCGCGATATTATTCTAGCGTCCTAATAATGGACAAAGGAATTATCTTTCTCTCCCGTCCATGGGTGTCGATCCCGGGGGGGGGGGGGGGATGGGGGGATATATCCCCCCCCCCCCCAATATTTCAGGTGGGGGGATGGCCTGTACAATCATCCCCCCAATAATTCACCATAAAAAAAATGAAGAGAAAAAGTAATGATGAGAGCCCGATGAGTAGTTAATGGTTGTTACTCGTAAGATGACCATCAATATACAAATTTTGCTATCTCATTTTCATAATACATACATATATACGAAGTAAATGAGACAACCGTATATGAGACAAGAATGAATTGAATTCTCGCTCATACGGCTCAGGAATTGATGAATTTATTCAATTTGTCCAATCAACAGTATCATATAAATGCAGTGCGCCAAATGCAAAGACGTAGCGTCAAAAAGCAATGAGCTAAATGTTAAGCGTGAAGCGCAAAAGTAGCAATCTGCAATGCACATCAGACAATCCTGGACAGTGTTAACATAGATGAACTCTGTGACGGATTCGTGATGAGATCGGAGACAAGGAAAAAGAGTTGTTCACTAGTTGTTGTGTTGTTTCCGTTCACCCTTTTTAAAATTCACGTCATTGTATCTTTGTCTGTTTTTTGTATCTATTTTTTTTCTCACTCATTTCATTTCCTGATATTCCCTAAAACATGTTTTCATTTTTGGAGAAAGATTATTATGTCACAACTAAATTCAGACAAGGATTAATATAAAGAACAGTACAACGAATCGTCTTCTTTTTCTAATAATTAAGTGAAATGGCAAGGCTTCCGCGCTTCGCCCAGGAGGGGGGCAACTAAATTCAGACTAGGGTTAAGAGTTATTTAAATGAAACGTCAAAGTACACGATACAACGAATCGTCTTCTTTTTCTAATAATTTAATGAAACGTGAAAGCTTCCGCGCTACGCGCGGGATGGGCGAAATTGATTTCAGACGGGGATTAAGAGTAATTATCAAATGAAACATCAAAGCTTCCACGCTTCGCACGGGAGGGGGGGGAAACTGAATTCAGACAAGGACACGATATAACGAATCGTCTTCTTTCTTTAATAATCTAATGAAACATCAGAGCTTCCTCGCTACGCGCGGCGGAAAGGGAACTTAATTCAAACAAGGATTAAGAGTCGAGAATGGTTCATCGAATCGTCTTCTTTCTTTAATAATCTAATGAAACGTCAGAGCTTCCGCGCTACGCGCGGAGGAAGGGGAACTTGATTCAAACCGGGTTTAAGAGTCGAGAATGGTACATCGAATCGTTTTCTTTCTTTAATAATCTAATGAAACGTCAGAGCTTCCGCGCTACGCGCGGAGGAAGGGGAACTTGATTCAAACAGGGTTTAAGAGTCGAGAATGGTACATCGAATCGTTTTCTTTCTTTAATAATCTAATGAAACGTCAGAGCTTCCGCGCTACGCGCGGAGGAGGGGGAACTTGATTCAAACAAGAATTAAGAGTCGAGAACGGTCCAACGAATCGTCTTCTTTCTCTAATAATTTAATGAAACCTCAAAGCTTCCGCGCTTCGTGGGGGAGGGGGGAAACTCCTCACTCCTGCACCCAACCCTCTAGGGAGCGCACTTCGCGAGCACTGTAAGTGATTCGCACGCTTTGCGTGCTCACTACCGCCCCCCCCCCCCCCCCCCCACCCCCCCCCCCCCCCCCCCCCCCTATAATGAAATGCTGGCCACGCGCTAGGAGAGGGGGTGCAACCTGCCACACGCTTCTACCCCTTGGTTGCTTTGATCCTTTGCCGAAAATATTTTGGCACCTATCATCCCCCCCCCCCCCCCCCCCAACCACGGATACAAATCGACACCCTTGCTCCCGTCATTCATATTCACGCTACGCGTTGCCACAGCCTGAGCTTGGAAGAATTTATATTTTGTCAGTAAAATCCTCTTTTTTTCTTCTTCTCCTCCCTTGACTTGGTTCTAATAAATTGAAGGTTTGCTTATTAGGGATAAGAAGGATAACATCAAACAAAAGATCTACTCAAGATGACGCTCTTTTCATTTCACCTCGCTGTTTGATAAAGTAGAGTTCTGTATGGAGCGAATACAAAAGAAAAGTTCGCTCTAAAGGAAAAAACATAAAATGCTGTGGCAGGATTTCACGCCCGAGATTTGCCTTCGAAAATTGCCCGTCCATAATGCGTTTTAAATCATAATAATTCCATAGCTCTTTTTAAAAGTGGAATGAATAGGAAAAAGAGTCTAGGAACTATATCGAGATTATAAAACATGTGTGTCATGAAGATGTAAAAAAAAAGCTTAAAAGATCTTTTTAAAAGGAGAGAGGCGCTTTAGCCCAGTGGTAGAGCAGAGCAGCTCGTAACCGGGAGCTCCCTGGTTAGAAACCACGTCGATTTGCTAGTGCCCTTTGGTAAGGCATAACTCAACATTACATTTCGTTCGGAGAGGTCTTAAAGCCGCCGGTCCCCTGTTTGCCTAATTCAGAGCATATGCTTCATAAAGCAGTCAGGTAAAAAAAAAAAAAAAAAAAAAAAAAAAAGCAAACGGTACAGGAAGCTACCTTTTATGGATAGGCCTAAATTGAGGTTTGACTTAACTAGGGAGAAGAAGGATAACATCAAACAAAAGATCTACTCATGATGACGCTCTTTTCATTTCACCTCGCTTTTAGATAAAGTAGAGTTCTATGGAACGAATACAAAAGAAAAGTTCGCTCTTAAGGAAAAAATATAGAATGCCGTGGCAGGATTTCACGCGGCCGAGCAAGGCTATTGTTTGATCGCTATAATTGTCCGACTTGCTATAGATTCTTGTTTAGGTACACTATTAAGGTTGCGTATTATGTGTGTGTGTGAGGGAGGGGGCGGCGAAGTGAACGGCCGGACGTAAATGGCAGAGGCCCATCAGGAGGGCTCCGCTCGCTAGTTACAAGGACCGCTATTCATTGGACAACTATTCATGAAGACCACTATTTGTAATTTTAGAATATGGTCATTATGCATAAGGGTCATGAATTCGTAATACGATATCCCCCTACCCAAAACTAAATAAATAAATAGAAAACTAATGATGCAATAACAAATAATGCCCGGTAATTGGTAATAGTCGCCTTTGAGCGGAACAATGGGCCCACCAACTATTAGCTGCTCAAAGAGCTGTCTTTTGTCATTGCGTTGCAATAACAATGTCCTTGTAAAAGTTACATGTACTATAATATCCGTATGCTATACAACAACCAATGTGAACATGACGTGTTCAGGCCTTATAACTATATACAGTGCACCAATGCAGTGCACGTTAAAACAAAAGACTTTACTAGCGCTAGCTAACAAATATGAAACGTCAAAACCAATCAAATTTCATGTTTGGAACAGATATAGGCGATTTCGAATTGTTCGAGGTGAAAATAACGAATATCGTGTCCGATAAACACTCCTTCTTTCTTCAAGGTCCCATACGTTTCAAACATAATTTACAATGTTGATTTGCAAATAATAATCTCTCTGGGAGTATATCGATTTCCCCGATAATGCAGATATTCCTTTTTTTTCGTAAAATTAGTTTTATAATTTTGCAGGGAGACAGTGTTTCTTATGATTCGAGCAGAATTTTGGTGAGTGCATTTCAAAAAAGAGCGTCTTCCATCTACCGAAACGTTTTGATAATGCAGGCTCCCGACAATACGATTATCATTTCTGTAATATCTTTAATTTGCAGATGTTTGTTCGTTTCGTATGACATATTTATAAACGCCCTATAATCTTATTTCAAGCAGAATCTTACAATGTCTTTGATTATAAGTATCATTTTGAAATCACGGTGTTAAAATACAATAGCTGATTTTGCGAAGATTTAGAGAACCTACGTTTCTATTCTTTAAATCGATCTTGCATGAGAAATAACAGATTGATGATATAGATATATGACCTATTTTGATCGGATGACAGAACAAAATAATGCAATATGAAACAAATAATGTGTCAAAACATACAGAAGGAATACAATTATACATATCGTTTCTGTTTTGTTCGTGAACAAATTAAGATAATTGAAGTATTGAACACATTAATGAACATAAATGAACAATCATGCCAACGTCAATGCCTAAAAAACTTCGATGTTGGGAGGGAAATTAACAATCAGAATAACAATCTAAATCA